GAAATAAGGTGCATTCTGTAGGTGGGAGGTAACTGCGCCATTGAGGGACAATAAGCATGAAGCCCAGAGCCTTTGGGAAGAACAGATTGAAAAGATGAAGACTTGAGAACAGATAGCGGGGCATGGGAAAATCCACCACTCAAGCGGACCACTGAGCTTGTTTTTTATTTTTTGTTTTACCCCCCAATCCCTGCAAAATTATGGTGCTTCACGCTCGTCTGCCAAGTAGAAACGCATTCCCGCATCCTTTTGAACGCCCCCTTGTTTCTTTGTTTGTTTGGATGTGACTTGTTTTTGTTCATGTGACGAATGTGTTTCCCTTCTGAGTGGACACCTGTGTGTCAATCTACATCGTTTAGTCACAGTCAAGCAGGAAGACGCTCTTGACTTTTCGAAAACATCCCAGCAAGATGAGTCACATCCAAATCTGTGTACCTTTGCCAAAATGGCAGTTACTGTATTTGTACGCAGAGCCATAGTTTATAGAGCAATGAAACACATTTGATCAGCCACTGAAAGGCAGTATACTGTAATACTGTATTACAGTATTATTACTGTATTATACAGTAATCTTCGTTTTTCGCAGATTAAAAATACATGCCTACAAGTATTGTTATATTTTCTGTCTAATATGTTGTTGCACCGTTTGTGTTCAAATATTTGTTGCTTAAAGCGTGAAAGCAATATAGAGGCTAATGGCTAGCGTGTGCCTATGGTGTTTCCCATTATATGTTAGCATTAAGCTAGCAGACTAAAGGCTAAGCTCTGTGGTTGTTTTAAAGACACATGTAATTCTCTTTTTTTTTGCCAAGAAATTTCATCTGAGAAAGGCAATAACCAATTTGAAGCTTCTTTTTCTCAGACTCAGTAAAACAAGTCTGTATACATTTACAAAAAAAAAGTGGAAATGAAAAAAAAATCTACTTGTGAGATGAGTTGAGTTCGCTGCCAGCATACACCAGTCAGATCTCAAATTTACGTTCGCCAGTCAAACAAAACAACCACAAAAAAAAAAAAGATAATCCGAATAACAACTGGTATCCTGAAAACCTCATAATTACACGTTTAGATATCATTGCTTCATGAAACATGAAAAGTGGAACTAATACAACCTCTGATTTGTTAGCATTATTGTTGCAATCTGACATACCGATTGATGTTCAAACCACACTTGTTTGGTATAATTTTGTGCTGTTGTTGATGCTTAATGAAAAGAGTCAAAAAAGTCAAAGTTGTTCATAGGTGTAATTGATGTTGCTAAACGGTCATATAAATTCATGGTTGATTTGCCTTTCTTTTTGTGTACAAAACTGGACAATACACATGATATTGTTCATTTCAACCCAGATTAATTTTTTGGTTGTGTTTGATGAAAAAAAAAGAATAAATCAGAAAGAGGACCTGAAAATAATCATGTGTTTTAATATTGGGGGTTCGGTTTCTAAATTGTTGAGCCTTCACATCAAAGCACTATGTTGCAGGGCTCACAGTCACATTACACAGAAGATCTCCGAAAAATCGAACGTACTAAAGTTTTACATTTTGGCATTGTGGGGCTTCTTTGCTGATCGTGGATTTATGGATTTTCTTTTTTAAAGGAGTTTTGTCATTCCCAACAAAATATATCGGGCCTGATCTGATGGGGCTAAAATCTTATATTCTGATCCAGGCTAAAGTTGCGTCTGAAGACACCACCGGATTTACGTTGCGAGTTGACTCATCGTGTGCGACCACCTAGATTTTCTGCTTGTGCCCCTGAAATTTCAAGTTAGGGGCCACTGCAGTGTCAATAGCTACATTAGCATGTATTCACCCCTGAGGGTGCGTGTGTGTAAAGGCACTTAAATGCTCCACACATGATCAGCAGCCTGTTTCTTTGATAACATGTGTGCAGAAGCTGTGTAGCTTTGTGTGTGCGTGCGTGTTTGTGTGTGTAGTGCGGCCAGCGTAAAGTCTTTCAACACACATGAAAGCGATCCTCCGGAGCTGTCGGAAGAAAGTTGCGCCTGGACCGTCCCGTCTTCAAGTCGTAACTTTCAATCTTTGAGGCTTGGGATGTGGAGGCCAGAAAGGCGCAAACATTGTCGTCACGAGCTCACGCCGCAGACTCGCCACGCCGCTCCATGTGCTTGTGATGCCCCATCACGCTTTGCTACTTCAGCGATATTTTGTGCTCTAATTAGAAGCCGCTGATTTACTGTTTGCGCCGGTCAGCCCGACGCGCCTTTTTGCTGACTTGTCTCGCTTTTGAAAAGTCCGCCGCTGCCACGCTTAGCGTCGCTGACGTCGGCAGCGCCGCTTTTAGCCCGTGCCGGACCGCACATCCGACAAACAATCAGTCATCATCGTCGACCGCTCGCTCACAAACCAAAACATCGGTTAATGATGTTCGACAAGTGTGGCAAAAACTGCTGCGCCAGCATGCAATTTTGCACACAGTTTTGGGCTGAACTCACTTGCAAAGATTTGGTTGAACTCTCGCTGAATCGCAGTTCAACGTTCTCAGATAGTCAACCATTTTCCAAAAAAAGAGGCTTCAAACTGTTTATTTCCACTCTCAGGTGAAATTTTTGGGCCTTTTGAACTTGTCAAACTAAACATGAAACCGATAAAATTAAATGTCAACAGTACTTGTAGCAAACACATCATTTTGGTCCCCTCGCTTCATGTTAACACGTAATCGGAAACTCCATTGACAAGCTAACAAATAGCAGTGCTTTTGTGAAATGCACATTTGAAATAAAATGGTGCAGCAACATTTTAGAGACACAATAAAACAATACCCAGGCATATTTTCTTTATCCTTTGCAAAAAACAAATATGACTGCAGTTTACTGAGTCTTTTTTCATTTGTCTTCGTGACTCTATCCAGTTGCACACACCAGCAGTCAAACCGTTTAATTCTTTACCGTGTATTGAGTTATGGTTGTATTATATGTTTTTAAAAAGGACAATATTATAGAGGGATATTTGTAATTGAAAAAAACATATTACAATATTTTGTTTATGAAGCAGAATATTATGGAGAGCTATTTTCCTGTAAACGTGATGACCACACCCAGAAACCAAGTGAGCCTGAACGTTCGGAATGCGAGCCCAGGGACACACTATCGTCAATTTCAGTTAACAGTAGAGGCTGGTATTGGACAAAATGGCAGCACCCTGAGAGAAATGAAAACAGATGTCTTAATTCCGCTTTATTCTTTGTCCACAAATGGAATATTTATCACAATACAACATTTAGGCTAGTAGAAATACAAGATATATATTATCGCCTGAAGTTTCTCTTTTTTGGGGAGGGGGCTAACCCTTAATAAACATCATTGTGAATTGTTGTCACATGCGGTCATTTGGTCTGCAAACAATCGTCTGTCCCCAGTACGTACAAGTGTACAGGTTGACTTATGACCGAAGACAACAAGGCTTGAAAGCTCACAAGTCAAGGAGTGCATGTGGTGGCGCGCAACATTGACACAAGGGTGGTGCGCAGCTGCTTTTGGAGCCCGCTCAAGCTGAGTGCATCCTGTGCGGATGCGAAGTGGGTTGACACTGGCATGCGCAGCGTCTCGCGCTGACGTTCAAGGACGCCGCCTTGATGTCACACAATGAAAATGTGTTGCTTTTTGGATTCAATCATTTGGAACCATTCAACACACACTGGTATAAATCTTCTCTGCTAATATTATTGCACCCAGCGGTGGTGAAAACTTTGGGTCAACTTTTTGGATTACAATAACAAAGTGGACATTACTGTGCCAATAAACAGGGAGTTTGAAATGAGTGGTTTTTATTTCTCCCTGTGTTTTAATAACATCATTTTTTAAACGTAACATGATTTTGACTTTTTTTGTGAGAGATATCTTGAGAAAATAGTTCTATATGTTCTCTGTGTTTCCCTTCTGAGTATATATATATAT